ACTTGTTATGCCCCGTGCATAATCAAAATGTTAGTAAATAATTGGTCATTAAGTATGCAAACTTGATTCACCAGTTTACATGTATGGTAAGCATGCGTTTAAAACAGCAGAATTATTGGTAGATCTACTAGTTTCGTATAGCAACTCATTATGCATAAATAGGTAGATAGACAACATTGACATCGGACCTCGCCTTACTTTCTAGTGATCCACTTTCCCACGATTCACTAACTTCAGTGCATCAAGCAGAACACAAAAATAATAGACAGGGAAATAAGGAAAAAGCAGTCAAAAGCAGCAGAAAGCTGTCGGAAGAGAGCAATGAAGAATGACGTAATACTGCAGTTCGGCATGGTGATTAAGATGAAGATAATGTGTGCATACATTCGCAATAACGAGATTTATTCCTAGCCACATCACTTACGGTCTCTAGTTTCTGCTTTCATGTGGACCACAACCGGGAAGCCTACATTCGCCCTGCACGGTTCCAACCAACAGTCAAAGACTTCATGGGCAGATGCTATGTCCTAAACTGGTCGTCTCTAACCTTTTTCCAGACTCAACCTGCTTCACTCAAAATTGTGTGGTGTGGCAGATGGTGACTAGGCATGCATAACACATGTCCCAGCTATTCATCAAGCCTTCTCTATCCACAGCCATTCTTGTGATTTTACTTCAATCACAACAAATGCATGAAGATACCGGCCGAATATGGTAGAAGCCATTGAAACATAATTAAAACCAATGAAGCAACGATATGAAAGTGATTTTAAACATGTGTTACATAGATCACTTCTTACTTTAATCTTATACAGAAAGATGATCTGATATGTTAAATAAACCAATAGTTATGTAGTGAGAACGTTTACCGAATTCAGCCAACAACATAGCGTTTCAAGTCAACACAGTTTCACTTCATTGCATTTGTATGAGGCATATGGATGATAAGAGCTTATTATTTGAGCTCATGGACAATAAATTTAATGGCCATGTACTGGGTGATTATTCGCTATAACGTCTTACGTAAACACGGATATACAGGTGAAAAGGAACTCAGTTTAACTAGGTTAAAGTAATAGGTTGGATATCGTGAACTATCCTGACTAACAGATGCCAACAATACAACGTGAGAAATAGAGATAAATAGAAAGGAAATCCTAAAGGTAGCGATTAATTATTTGAGTCAATGTCCAATACAAACAAACGAAATGCGTTTTCAGTAGAAATTTAATACTAGTACATCCCAAATAAAAAAAATGTATTGCTAAGCTACTGTATTCAAAATGACATTTATTTCCCAGATATTCATAAAATGATTCATAAACATCTTTTTATCGGCAGCCGGGTCTCTTAGCTCAGATGGTAGACCACCGGGCTGGAAACTCGGAAGTCGCTGGTTTGAATCTTGCCTCCGTTCAGATTTTCTTTTCACTTTCAACCGTCACCCAGTATCAATAAAAGTCTCCCGGACCACAGCCATCTCAGATACTCAAACTGGTATACTTTTATCACCTATCGGAGTGAGAGAATCTATGAGTTAAAAATCCCTGAATATTATTAAGGCTACATGGCAAATGCCATGGCCTCAACAAAAGACGGAAACTTTGAAACTCAACGGTGATGTGTCATACTGATCAAACAAAGATAAGGGAGTAGATTTCAAAGGATTTCGGTCCGTCTATCTTTACATCTTACACTAAGAGTAAAAATAGTTCCATAGATTCTCAAATATCTGCTTTGTTTCTTTAAATTGCTTTAATTGGTAGTTGAAGTTAGACAGCAAAATACCCAATATAGTCAATATTTTATTGACTTTCAATATTTCTTCATTAGAGATATGCAAATACACTCTCCCAGTCATTCAAAACTAATGAATTCTGCAAAATGCCAATGTTTCATAAAGTTCTACAGTCTTCTAATCTGTTAACTTCTCATGAAAGTATGTTCTAACGGTATCTATATTAATCTGGAAATTCTGTCTACAAAGCGGAAGAATACCACTAGAACAGAATGTTAACAGCTACAAATGAATGTTTTTGATTATTTCACTTATGGAAAAGAATCTTCGACATGACTTGGGACTGATGCCTCTCTAACAAGTTGATATATTAGGCTATTAGTAGAACATATAATGTGACAGTTTTTTAAAGCCCGATATAGAGTGTAGAGACAGAACTTCAGACAATAGTTACTGGGATTGATAGATTTATAAGTCAGTTGACGGATAGCTGCATAAATGTGTGAAAATATGATCCGTCAGATTCCGGGACTGGCTGAATGGTAAAGTGCTCACTAGGAAACCTGACGGTCGTGGATTCAGTCCTCCGTGAAGTTGTACGAACGCACTACTAAAGAGAACCATAATTAGGGCGAAAAAACCGTCCAGTGTTCTTAGATTTCTAATGTTTTCAGAACTGATATCTGTCAACGATCAGTACTGCCTTGAAATTGTAATTGTATATTCACCTACATTTCTGTGCAACTGGGAAAATACTGTTTATCTTTCCTTGGCATCGTTAACACTATATCAATATCCTGACAAAATTTTCAAAGTGACTAATCATAGAAGGAAATTATTTCTATGTAAATATACTACTGAGAGACATAAGAAGTTAGGAACCCCTCAAGCTGACATGTAGGCTTCGTTAGGTAAATCAGTGAACTAAACACTGGAATACAGTTTCACCTCCTGAAGACCCACCTAATTAGTATGTCCATTCATGACACCTTTGTGCCAGAGATCCCTTTTCGTGTTCTTGTGTGGTGGTGAGGTGGATTTCAAAGTAAACTTCTGACATCATGGTTGTGCAGTTGAAAAACTACTTGGCTGTGAGAAATGCCAGCGTGAACCATGTTATACGGCTGTGATGCATTGACGTTGAGTGTAGAAGATATAAAACGGTTACAGGGTTTTGATCCCAGGTGTCTTAGAAGCATTTGTCACGTTTGGTGGAATCACAAGCGAGCAATGTTGAGATCATGAGAAGGGTACTAGGCAAGACAGACAAGTCGACTGATGAAGTTGTAAACCTTAGTCACCTGAAATGGCTTGAACATGTATAGCACTAGCCAAGTTACATCTTACCTCGAAGTGCCATACTGGAGGAAGTTGGATAAGGTTCAGGGTGGCCACATCAAGACCTACCACCAGTCGTTGGAGTAACTTACTGTTTGTTTTAGTCTTATGAGGAGATGCAGACTGACTGGTTAAGATTTTCTAGACAAAAAGAATCAGTGGATAAGGAATTTTGGTGACGTGACTGAAAATCGCTCACAATGGTGCAGATGTATTCACTCCTTGACATCTTGTAAAGCTCCAATGTCTCTGCGAACCGTTTTCTTCAAATTGCTTATTCTCTCCACACATCTTTGTCTAACTTGATATTAGTCTTTTTCTATCCACCTGTTCTTTGTGAACTGCTGTGAAGTGTAGCAACTTGAGCTGATGCACATGTGTGAAATTCTACGTTGATTTTTTCAGTGGTAGTCAGTCGAATCCACGTAATTTTAGTCATAACCTAGTATTACTCATTAAAATAACTGTTGTCCCATCTAAAAAAGCAGTTATTACAATAAATGACAGTAACGTAACATTTGTGTCTACTACTAATGTTAACCTTTGAAAGTTAGTAAAATATAGGTTTTTTGTATAAACATATAAATGAATGGATTTTTATTCCAGTTCAATTAAAATAATTAACCTCTAGTGATAAGTGGATAATCAAGTATGGTTAGGCAAAAGGATAGTAAAATCCTTAAAAAGCTCAATACAGTCCCATTTAGTGAATACTGAGCATAGAAATGGTCAAACGTCATTCTTTACCCCACTATACTTAGTCCCATTGTAATACTCCAAGTTGATGCGCCTCCGATGACTAACCGTAGCAAAGGCGATTGTAATTCGAATTTCGAAACCTGATTGACATACGAAAAAGATGTTTGTTAAGTCCCTTTTCGCCCCATGACAGTCACCTTTAACGCAGACAAAATTACATTTGATGTAAAAATAAGAATGCGTTATATCGCAACAATCATCTTTGGAAGTTAAAAATATAGTTTTCCTTGAAGAGAACTCTCTAACACCCTTAAAAAAGAAAGAAAATATTTGTTGTAGCCAACGCCAGGTGAAAGATTTTTAAAATCCCTTTGTCACCGAAAACAGATCATTCTTCTTTATGAGTGATCTATGGTTGTGCCATTTACATGATCAACAATCTGAAGGTCATACAACTAAGAGTTTTCACTCACTTCTGATTGATATTCATCATGGACTGACACCAGCAGGAGAATCATTGAAAACCTGAGGGCACTAGACCGTTGTCTCGTTCTGTTATAGGACCCCTCAGCAATGTGCACCCATGACCCCGCCTCGTCAGGGACAGAACCCAGAACCTTAAGGTTCCCCGTCTAGCACGTTACCATTGAACCACTGGGTTCAATATCCATCCAATGGTCCACATTTCCTACTTCAGTTCACGATATAGAGCAACCTTCATCCAATGCCGTCGTTGAGTTACTGTCCTCATGTCCAATTTGGTTGGCCTTACTGGTTACGACTTGTTATCAGAACTTCAGGAATCTCATCTGAATATAACTAGACCTTGACTACTTTCACTTAAACAAACAACAATCAAAATAATTTCTTAAATATATTAAAACAACAACTAAAGTCTCTTTGAAAAAATTACCAGTGGGAATGAATGAAATCAAATTATTTCCAATTCACTACAAACATACTTTTTGTTTTAATTGAAGTTGAACAAAATTAATTTTTATTGATAAATGAACTAAGACTGATCATTTCCAGTTCATACGTTGAAAATAATATATTACTAGTTTGTTTATAATCATTGAAATTTAAACTTTCCTCATATAGTATTTTTGACATGAAGAACAAAATGAAAGAATAAAATATACTGAAGGAACATAAATTTATTTTAGGGCATAAATAGAATATTTGATGGACTTTCGGAAGAAAAGTGAGTACGAATTCAGAAAAATTAAGTTAATCCATTATTTATAGTTTGTTGTAGTTCTTGGACTGCATTCTGTTTGTTTGCCATAGGACTAACAACATCACTACCCCAAGTTTCATGTTCATTATCTTGTGGTGATGTGCCTAACAACTCATTTAATATTTCCAGTTTTTGATCTTTAACAACGGAATATTCACCTTTTTGTTTTTTTAAACGTTTAAGTCTAAAATCTTTTGATTTAGTATTCTCTGATACACTGCAACAACCCTAAACAAAGCAATAACAAATAGGTTTATTAGAATAAATCAGTTCGCTCAGAACAGATTAACTTACATCATCCTTCCAACTGAATACACTATAACGTTCAGAAGTGTTTGATCTTGTTATCGATGTATTAGATTCATCTGGAGCCATTCCTAAAAGTTAAACCTGAACCATTTCTCATTACTTGACAATTCATGACCAGCTTTTTCGTTCTTTCCATCGGGCACAACTTTTTGTAATAAAATTTGCTCGAAAAATTTAACTATCTCAGTTAAAGATTAACATTCCAGATGCATAAGTCAAGGTCAGAACAGGGAACTCAATAAATCTATCTGCAGATGACCTCGACAATTTTGAAAAATCATTTTTTGTCAGCTGCAGCATTACGTGTTATTCATGCTTGGAAATTCGTAAAGATGCCGTTAGAATAGACCGTTTATTATTTTGCTTTTTAGCATTTTATCGACTGACGTTTTACATCTTATAGCAATGCTGGAATGTGTGGAAATGAATTATGTCTGTATCTAACGAATGGTGATGAACTTGTTCTTACTGATGGAGTTCCGACGGTTACATAACTATTTGTCTACAGAGGACAAATCAAAACTGGAACATTATTGGAGTTCGGTGTGAACGTATTCCTTTGTCGAGAAACTGAAAAAATTCAGGAAATAATTTTAAATAAAACATTTAAACCAATGAAGATGTTAGAGAGAAAAAGGATCTAATTGTAGATAGTATACTTTTACGCGTCATTTTGAATCGTTTCAAATTTGGACAACTACAGGTTTAAAAATCTGATTTCAACAAGGCGATTGGAGGAAATTTTGGAAAGCACTATTCTTCTTTCACATTACCATATTATTAAAGGTAGAATCCTAATGAGTTTGAATGTCTAATCAAGCAATAACCACATAATGGACCACACTTTACATCAGTACACCACGATGTAGATCAAAAAACACAGAGAGATGAGCACTGAGTTGTGGGATGCAGTGTAAACACGAACTGTCGAAGACCAACATGGAGATAGTAAAGGTGTGCGAAATCATGGAAATAAGATAGGAATGTACCTCATAGATCAGTTAAAAGAAATACGTCGGTTACGAGGACATAAATGTATGTGTATTAATAGTTATTATCACTATGGGATTTGGCATTACTATGTGACAGTTTAATTTGCTACATTTCATATCAGTTCATCAACTAAGAATGCACCAAGTTGGAACAAATGGATAAGTAAGAAAGTAAACGAAAATGGGGGGAAATTAATGAAAACAGAACAAGAATGAATGAAAAAAATACAGAAATTCAGTATAATAAAGTGTGGATATATCTGTGACATCGAGATCATTTCCAAGCCATGCTATCTAGATCCTCTTACCATTGTTTTCTGTTGTCACTTGGACACCAGTCAAGAAGTCTACATTTCTCTACGCATCTCAGACCAATGACTTAGTGGACAGACGACCGCCTGTAACCGTTTTGCAACCTGAACCTACTTCGGTTAATATTGTGCGACAGGTCAGGTATCTGAACACCTGAAGCCTTAGCGAGTCCTCTAACCTCGAAGGCAGAGTTACACAGCAATGTAGTAGGGCACAGCTAACTACTGTGCGGTACACTAAACTCCTAATAGGTGACCATATGTCTAGGTCAAGTGACACATGGTATAAGTTGGCAAAGGTCAAGTAAATCTTTCGTATCTGGGATGTTGCATCAGTCAAAACAAGCTGGTTGCTGCCGAAATCTCAACCCGGATACAGAAGGCTTGTTTGGTACCTTCCATATGGCGTCACTTGTAGCGCCGACTGGTGAGATATCTGACGATCCATTGAAAAGCGTTTATACTGCACTATAGTCCGTTCTGTTGTACGGCTCTGAAGCGTGGCCGTTAAAGATGTAAAGTGGTTATATGTCTTCGTAGTACTCTTCGCTTTGGTGGATCACCAGATGAGCAAGTTTGAGGTCAGGTAAAGGGTACTGGGCAAGATTGGTAAGTTGATTGATGAGGTTGTGAAACTTCACCAAGATGGCTCGGACATGTGCAGCCTGTCCACCGCCTACCTCGATATGCCACACTAGGTGAGGTTTGATTAGATTTCAAGAAGGCTCAAATTAGCCAGAACAAGACGTGACACTAGTTCATGAAGTCTGTCACTATCGGTGTGATCAGTTTTGTTAAATGCAGACTACCCGGCTAGAGTTCTCTAGACAATAGGACTATTGGTGAAATGACTGAAAACCGGTCAAAATCAGGCAGATGTATTCATTCTTTGATATCTTCTAAAGCTTGAATGTTTTGATAAACTCTTGTTTTTTCCACTTCCAGCATACACCCTTGTCTACTTTGAGATCAACCTTCTTCTATCCACTGACTCTTTGTATACTACTGAAAAATGTGGCGACTTAAACCAATTCACTTTTGTGGTAGGTTTTATTTTGAAATTCTCTGTCTGTCTGTGACGCCTAGAAGTTTGAAGCCACCGGTATCGGGTTCAAGTCTTACTGGGGACAAAATTGCTCATTGAGAGGCAGGTACATTGAGCTAACAAGTCTCAAATAGGAGGAAATGTGCGTACTGCATTACACTGCAGCCATTATCCGCCCTTACTATACAAGTAGCATTTAGTTATGTTCTGGAAGCAGGAAAATCTTTATCATGCAGTATTAATTAACATCAATATTTAGAGGTTTTAAGCAATAAACTTTTTGATGTTTCATTCCTTCGTCAAGTGAATATTCGTTTCAAAAATGCACATTTCAGTTATTTCTTTAATCATTTATAAGTAATGAAGAAACCGGTGCATACTGTTTAGCAAACAAAAGCTTAATTTTCACGATAGAATAATCATATGAACTGTATTACTTTTTCTTTGAACTGAAATCTGCCCGAAAATTCTGATCACCAAGACGTTTTCTATTTTATTTGACATTTAGCTCCATCTCTTTCAATGTTAGGGTATGTGGGTAAAGTAATGAGTGCTGGAACTGGTAATACTACTACGCTCGTTAGTACAACATTCGTACCTGCATATAAACAACATTTATAAGTGCAAAACTTGGCACTGTGTGATAGGCAGTAGCCTAAATGGAGATCAACATTCTAAGTCACCAGCAGCTAAGACAGAAATTTTGAATTTCAACCTGTTTCATGGTATTGTGTAGTCAGAAAAAACCTTATTGGACAATTTTGTCCAACAATTGACCAGTCAAAGTAAATGCTCAACTTTTTATCTAGCGCTTTTATACGTTTATGAAAACTGTGTTTAAATGGTGTATTTTTGTTGAATAAGTATCTTACCCACAGTCACAGGTCGGTCTTTGTCTTCTCATTTTTGTGGTTCAGTGAAGTATAAGGTTCTGAGGGTGAACAGTCGCAATTCGCATCCAGTCCAAATGTCTCATTGCGTTAGTAGCGTTCTCGCACTATTTTGTCAGTCACTTCACTGTGTCAGAATGTAATCCCAGATTGGATTAGGCTTTCTAGCTCAAATTTTGCTCTTAATTAGGCCCAATAACCTGCTAATCTCTGCAGTGTGTCATAATAACAAATTAGTCAGTTTCAAAGTAAATAGTCATGTAAACATAAAATTAAAAACTCATCTACTGAAGTCTTAGCATCAGTTATTATATTCTACAAACAAAAGAGAACAGCCGTGATCTGCTTGGTGACTAAAATTGGAATCCGGGATGTGCGTTTTGGCCTATTTAGGTCTAGTCAGCCAGACGTGCCTACAACTGAGTGATGTTGGTCCCACTAGGACTCGAACCCAAAGGCCTACAACTTCAAACACTTAAGCATTGTGCAACAGGTTTCAGTTGTTGCTTGGTACTTCTAATCCTCCGTTACTAAACTCGGTCGAATTGTTTGACCACTGTTGCAGAAGGGCTTCTCTGTGGATGTCTTGATACAGAGGTCGACCAATTCAAGCCAGTATAAGAATGGGAGATCACAAGTGTCAAACAAGACAGAACTGCTTCTGTCATATATGTTAAATACATTAGAGATTGTGTCAAGATAACTGCGAAAAGGCTATGAGTCCTGAAAACATGGTGTTAACTATGGACCTTGGCGGTGAGTCTGCCAAGTTTACAGAAGATAATTTAGCCTCACAAAATTCAAGAGGAATAAGAAAACAACGAATATCACCTTAATAAACATCACTTGCATCGTGTATTGTTAGCCGGAGTAAGAACAGGTTGGAGAAGAGGACTCAGGTAACGAAATTAAGAGTAACATCGGCCCCTGAAGTCTGCTGCTCTATGACATCCGGATAGGTGTATTTTGACTGATTTTGGGTCCCCGAGATGATCGAAATCAGTGGTTGAGGACTTTCGGTGCAATGGCGAAAGATCAATCAGAATGACACAGATGTATTCACCCTTTGATGTGTTCAAAAGCTTGAATGCCTTCACCAACCTTCAAATTCTCCCTCCCCCTTGCATACACTTTTGTTTATTTTGATATCAGTCTTTTTCTATCTACTTGTTCTTTGTATACTACTGTAAAGTGTGGCAACTTCAGCCAGTACACTTGTAGGCGAGATTCTACGTTGATTTAGTCTGTCTGTCAACTGAGAGTTTGATAAAACATGTCATATCAAGTTATCAATGAGACAACAAATCCGAAGGCATAATATCGTTCCCTATATTAAATTCCTTTTGGGTCATTGTCCCTGCAGTTTATGTGTATAATCATTTTCTCTGATCATGTAGGCCGACTACAGCAACATTTGGGGGTAGTTACAAGAGGATGGTATTTTATCTTTTGAAATGGATTTGAAAACTATATTCCACTACTCATGAAGACAGCTGATGCCTACACGACAGATCAGTGAGTCATCACATATACTGAACATATGGATAGCATAATATAAGGAAAAAAGATCATTTTGCTTCCAATTTTAGCTCGAAATGATGTTAACTTCAGAGACCTTTGGTAGAGTCAATTGATAATGCAGGACACTGACTGCCAAGTAATTAGATATGGAGCAGCACCGCAGCTGACAAAGCAAGTGTTTAGTGTAAGGAATAATCGATTAACTTAATCAGAGTGTTTCAAAACTAGACTGAAGCTCTCGCATATACACATATCTTTCCATAGTCAGTGTGGGTGAAATTAGTAAATAGTGAGTTCCAGCAACACCAGTAGATAGGAAAACGCTATGCCTGTAAGCTGTAAGAAGGAGTCGGGTGACACCATAGCAGAGTATCTCAATGTAAAAATGTAACTCAAAACTGTTTGTCACATTTTATATGAAGTTTGTTTTCTTTAAGTTGTGATGAGTGAGAAAAGTTGACTAGATGAAGAGTACTGAAACCTGCACACTATTCGAAACTGAGTGGATAGATTTGGGTTTAAAGTGACTTTAAAGGTCACGCTAGCAACTGCTGAATAGACCAATCAGGCTTCAGCATTTCATCTGGGAAGTAATTTTCCATAAAATAGAGGAATTTAATTGGCTGTCTCATCAATGCTGGGGTGGCCCTTAAAGTCAGGCTAGGTTTGTGACATTTAAACAGCTCAATAATTTTTTCACCAACGTTGTCTATTTCAGAGGTTGCTGACTGTTGAAATTAGATCAATGTGAATCAGACGCTCGAAAAGAAAGTGATTGAAAAATGGAAAACGTGAGTCTCAGTTAAGTATTCTCAGTCATATTATTTTATTTTAAAACGTACTTATAACCTAATTGGTCACATTATTACATGTCTCGGTTCAAGAGCTTAAAAGTGGTCCCCTAATCCGTTTCTCTATGATCTATAGTTCAGAAATAATTGCATATTGACTGGTATCAATTAGTTATTGAGTGCTATATCAATTTCTGGGCATGAAATCGGTTGTTTCACTTTTATGAATTATGGTGAGTTGTGGACATTGAGTTCAGTTGTATGAATAGACCAAATGAGTGACTTTAAAGGCCACCTCAGCAACAACTGAAATAAGCAATAAACTTCTCTATTATGTGAAAATCTGCCTTTCCAAACAAAATGAAGAGGCCTAATTGGTGACTTCGATTGTTGCTAGGGTGGCCTTCAAGGTCGCCCCTAAAGTTACCTGTTTGAAGTATACGGACAAGTAGTCCAAGACTGAGAGAGAAACTTTAAGACTCACCCTAGCAATGACTAAAGTAGTCAACTAGTTTTCACTTACTTTTCTGTTAGAAAGGCCGATTTTCATAAAATAAAGAAGCTTAATTGGTCATTTTAGTTGTTGTCAGGATAGTCTACAAAGTTACTCCTTTGGAGTGCTCTAAAGTTCACCAACTTACCAACCACTGAAGTGAGGAACTAGATTTCCCTTATGTTGCGGAAATCTGCCTTTCTAGTAGAAATAAAGAGATCTAATAGGTTATTTTAGCAGTTGCTACGGTGGGTTTCAGAGTCACTCTTTTGTTACGGGCAAACTGCATGACTCATCACCTTACGATGAACTGAGCATACGGGAAGTCGCGGAGAATATATAAGACTAATCACACACCAGGTTAGCATTAAGAATAAATCGGCAGCCAGCCGCTTTAGGCTCGAAGATTTTCTTAGCTTAATCACGTAAGCTGCTAAAAACGAGCGCCATTAGAGACAAAATGTTTTTTCATGATCCATTGGGAATTCGACGAATCTTACCATCCGCACTTATTTATGATAAGATTATCTACCTCTCAGCTGTAAATAATAATAATGATAAAGAAGTCAAATAATAAAATCTTTCTACAAGCAAAAACATGGTTGATTAAGCTTTGTACATAAAAAGAGTGATAAAAGGGAATTCAACAAATTCAAATTCAGTCGAACCAAAAACAAAAATAACAAAACTTCAATGGGGAAGAAATATTTCTGTTTCAAGAATGTTATACAAGTTTATATAGATTGGCGCCACGTTTGATAATTGCTCCAGATTCATTTAAACGATCTAATAATGTCATTACACAATTAGCAGCTATACGAATATCATTGGCAATGGTATTTATTTCTGGCATTGTAAATAATCGACTGCTTGTACGTTTTGAAGCGATCTGTAATAAAATAAAATAAACTGTAGCAGATATAACACGAGCATTAATTGTTTATATATATATATATATATATATATATATATATATATATATATATATATATATATATATATGACTTACTGGTGAACATTAGGCGTTGAAATAAGTAGCTGTAAAAAAGTCAAACATTTAGGAGAAGCGTCTTTACACTAAGTGGGAAGTATCGTAGTGTTCTCTCATGCTACTGGTATGCATAACTAACCAACGAATGGAAAAAAGTATACGAGGTAATCTCTCGCTACTGTATAAAACAAATCTTAAGATGTAAGTGGTAATTTTACTTTCCGTCGTGATTCCTTATATCTAGTCAATCAATAGTAGAAACCAATACTGATGAAAGTGTATCAAACAGTGTATGGTCAATATTCCTTACATTAAATGACACAGTAGAACTCCATCATGTTTAGTGTTCCGATGATTAGAAGCATCCAACAAGATATGTCAATTCCAACTACCAACGTAGCTTAAAGTCATCAATGGAGAGACCTAGTGAAGTTCCGACTGAGCTAAAAAGACACAATGTAAGAGCTGATGAAAACAGAGGGGAAAGGTCAACATAGAATCTCGCACAGAAGGGCATTGTTTCGACTTATCATAATAGCAGTATGTTAAGAACAAGTGGATAGAGAAGAGCGAATACTACAATACCACTAACAGTCCTCAACTGTCGATTTTCCTATTAGTCTCGAGGACTATAAACAATCAACATACATATCTCTATACGACACAGACTAACAGTCAGATACATTACGAATTGGTGTCAAGTTTGGGTTTGATCATTGTGAACCTTCTTCGAATCCACCCCAACTAAGGTTAACATTGCAAGTCAAGGTAGGCGGTGACTCAGGAAGCACAACACATATCCAAGCCACCATTTTTAGTACCCTAAGGTTAACTTCGAGATTGCTCACAGTAACTGCACCATATGTAAGCAGTGCTACGAAGACACTTGTGCAATCTCTTCACATCTACTTTCGAAGGCCATGTCTCACAGCCGTACAATAGGTCAGGACGAAATACAACGCAGTATACTCGTCTTTTGATAGGTAGTCGAACACCTTGCCAACGAGCTCCAGAGTTGACGAAAGTTGGCAAATACCAAACGAACCTACAGTATCCACGTTGAGACTTTGTAAGCAACCTGCCTGTTCGGGTTGATGCAACCCCTAAGTAAGTGAAGTGGTCAATGCATTCTACCACTTCACTGCCTATCCCTCAACTAAGAGTGGTTGCCGATCAGTGGAGCAGCATTATCTTACATCCCATAAATGCAAAACGCAGGTGAAGTCAACCAGATGGCCTTCAGTGAGTAGATCAGTCCCCATTGAGTCAGAGGTAACAAGGGCTACTCAAGGTTATCACGTCTATAAGACGTTGGACAAAAACGGTGACAATGTGTAGTTTCATCCATGGACATCACTGGCTGTCATCAATTCTGATGAAAAATACATTACAACTAAAATATTCAAGTTGACAGTGATGGCCAGTTGAAATATGAACAAATTTTACATCGAAAATTACTAAAAAGCAGAAAATTTCCCGTTTGATCTCAAAATTAGTTAACAACGTACCTCAAGTGCAGCTAATAAACGTTTGGCAGCGCCTGGACCAGTCGACGATGACTTATTCGTTTCGACGGCATTGTAATCGAATTATTGATCTCACTAAGACTCACATTAGCTGGTGTACCAGTTACAAATCCACTGCCTAAACCGGTAGATCTCATCAATTCACAAACATCTAAAGCATCCTATGATGAAATATATACCCGAAATATGACAAAATTAAATGCTTAAATTACAAATTTTCATTACAAAAATAAGTGTACATGAAAATAAATAAGCACTTCAGTGTGATCAACTCTACAACTGATTGATAAATGAAAATATGTACGCTAGAATCGAAATGCTACTACTAAGTAGTATAAAATGTATGCTGGAATAATTCTTACCAGTGTTAGAGTTGGTAGGAAGTGCAAACACGAAGGAACTGATTTCCCATTCAAGATTAGAAACCACGTCACCCAGTGTTGCAGGCAGCGACGTTACCCCTGAGCTATTCGGGTGGCGACTGACCTCCATTGGGACTGAAGTTTTACCAGTGTAAGGAAGTTAGCTCTTTTGAATTTTCTTTTCAAAAGAATTATGTGCTGTTGTGCTTGGTAACTGTTTCACTTCGACAGGCATACAAAATGCATACCTGCTACATACTACTTTGCACAATTTATCACACCAGAGAAATATCTGATTGCCAATAAGAGATAAAGTATGGTTCGAAGCAGTCTCACATATCTTTTACCCTAAATCAATATGAGGATAAAATATTCCTCATCTCCAATGACTTATGCCATGCTTCATATTGACTAGAACTTTTCAATGGCATCCAGACAAACGTTAAGTTCACTATAGAACACGAGTATAATGACAAGTTCAGTTTTCTGGATACTGGTATACAACACAGGGTGAATAGCGTTGGAAGGACCTAGATTTGCACAAAACATTGTTTATTGATCTAAAAATTTTAATTTGTCGTTTTCGCGCCATTTTTATGGCATGGCTAGTAGTTTATTTTTCCTTCCATTTTCAAGGTAATTCACTAATTGCCTAGTACTCGCATTTACTATGCTAGTGTTTGGAATTCTAGACAAGGTCATGCATCATTTACACACATACGCACACGTGTTTTTGGGTTAATTGACTATTTGCTTTGGGAGAATAAACTCTCCCATTCAGTTCAGTCTTCTTTATTTCGTTGGGGGGTTGGAATCGGTGGATCTTGAGTACGAAGTTAACCGTCAGTCAAGAGTGCACATTATGTACTCTTTGGGGACTTAACAGATAGCGCGACTTAAAGAGAAATTTAACAGAATGGTACATGGAATGAACTGTATCCAAATCCAAATTGCTTCTATTCAGGGAGTTATGGACAATTACTAGTGAGAATATTACTCACCAGGGACATCATAATAGAGCGGAGAAAGGAGTCATTTTAATTGGGAAATTTTTGGGAGACAATGGCTGCTCACATGGGTTTATTAACAAATAAGAAAGAACTGGAAGCAAATGTAGAAGAAAATTACGGTCACTGAAAATCTGGTATTCATACAGATTGACTTTAAATGGAATGATACGGCGAGAACAGAAGACTGAAGACAGTATTGGCCAAAACTTATCCTGCTGCCAAACCAATTTCAACTCATCGGACTACGTGTTTACCAACTACTTCAGTTAAGAGTCAACAGGTACCCTTCACATGTTATCCCCCCCCCTGTGTGTTTCTGCCAGAGCAGGCGTATTAGAACAACAGGAAGAAAAACCTAACTGAAATTTCCTGAAGATTTTCTAATTAGGGCAGGACAACAAGTGGACGTGTTGAAACTTTTCAAGATAATAAACACATGAAATAGATAAATTCTATGATGGTTTGATTTATATCTTGAAAAAGATGTTATCAGTCTTCCAATACCTTGGCAACCGAATCTCTTAACTTCTACCTTGTTTGATTACGCATAACTACTATTATTAAGTTTTTGTGAAGCCTTGTATTGTTCATACATGCTTTCAACTGAGTTTAGCTCACAAAAGTTTCAGGCGTTTTCCTGTCTATCCATTAACTTATTGAGCTGTGGCTTATCAACCAACGGCCACGGGTTCCAACCCCGCTCCATCTACCAAGTTCTAGCCATGTAACCAGGTGGTATCATTAGTCGTCACACAATAGATGTTGTTCACTGCCTACTGCACGAATAGGCATATGATTTCTAAGTGCCTTTCGATTTTGGCCCGATTCGATATCCATTAACTTCCATAATCTCTCTGTTTCAAGAGGTTTAATGCTATCCCCTTATTATTATAATTTCTGTTTTCGACTGCATAAAGCATGTGATGAGGAATATTTTCCAGCCTTTTTGGATCTGTTAGTATGATACCTTACTAAGTCTTGTTCATTTTAACTACCAACAAAACTTTCATATTATTATTATTACTAGAGCCCAGAATCTGTGGAACATATTCACTGAAATATCCTCAATTAAGAAGCACCAAAGCCAATAGAATCCAAATACCCACATACACGTATGACCCAAGTAAAATACACAACCCCCCCCCCCAGTCGTCCCCTTAAGCCCTATATTACCAATGTATAGATCACCAACCCAAGCTTGCTCAGTGGTTGGTGGAGCTACTGGATCTAGTTGAAAGAGAATATCATAAGTATATCTTCAAAGATACATTTGAATCAACTGACTACCGCGATGATATTTTATCATATTTATATTTATATTACTTGATGCTAGCACCCTACTCACTAACATTCTCCTAGTCACAACTGACATTTTCGGTAGATACATTTTCACGCATAGTTTTTGCATCCCAGTTCCTTTACCTTACTTAAAGCATTTACTAATTTTATGCACTGAAAATGTAAGGTCTACATTTCATGATGCAAACTTTCGTCAGGCTATGGCCACTTCGGTCCCAAGTCGAATGAATATAGCATAGAAAAGTATGTATTTAAAAAGTGTAGAAGAGAACGATAACTGCTTGGTTATCTTAGTCAGTTGACCTCAAGATGGATCAATAACACTATCTACAGAAACTCAACTGATGGCTACTACCTTGACGTGGTGTTCAGGCTGTATATCAACGATGACCCAACGAGCTATGCTAGTGGACGCTTCTTCCTTTGAGGTCCTACCATACCAGAAAGGTCTGTTGGATAGTGGTTAGACAAAAAGCAGTCACCCTTAACACGTTCCTAGACAAAGAGATAATGCATTATGGTGTCTTACGTCAATCAACAGTGGTTAGAGGTATTTTAAAAGCACAGGACGTATGTCTAACTGCATCTACTACTACAGACCAGTTGTTGTGGCATCAAGAAGGCCGTACGTGACTGGCCTCAATTAGATGTCTCCTGGGCTCGTCGGTCGTACAAATCCTTTTCTTTTTCAGGTACCTCAAGAAGAAATAGCCTCTGGCAGTGTGAGCAGCCGGGAAGCATCAACCTTCCGCACGCTTTCAGCAGTACACAAGACCTAATCACACATAAATTATCCTCCTCAACTCTACGATGGGGGTTCAAGGGTATAGTCGTACTACTGACTGGACAGAAGTGTGATAGCAGTAACGTGTTTCCTTTGGATGATCAACAGTACCATGCTGCTGCTACCTTCCGTATGGAAAAGGGAGGGTTAAGGAAGGTCAACCCTAAAAAATACACTACCCACTATCTCGCGGAATGGCAATATCGGTGACATGGGTGCATAGTCGAATTTAAAATTAACGAACCAAAATTTCAAACTTGCAAAAAGGTCGTGTGTGACCGACCTCAAGCAAATGGCTCAGGTCTCGCACAAACCTTTCTCTTTCAGGTACCTGACGAAGGAATAGCTTTCCACGGTGTGGGCACCTGGGAAGTACCAACCGCTATTACAACTTTCGCAGCCATCAAGTCCCCTCAGATCACCATCCATTTTCCACATCTATAGAAAGCTTACATGGACAGTACAGAATTCGGATTATCATAGTTTCTATCCCCTCCAATACAAATGAGAATTTAATGAGATGATTAATGAACTGAATTCAACGAAGACGCAGAGCCGGTACGTTGATACAACAGACTAGATTATTGACGGAGGTGTTAATGGAGAACAACTAACCACTGAAGTTTATAAGTCGGCATAAAGTGGACAGAAAAACTGCCTACTTTGTCCCAAATAAAGACTTATCAAGCTACCACACACGCTGATGATGCAAATAGCTTGATAATCAGGCAGATAATTAAAGCCGCCATCCATAATGCATATTTTGCAGCGAGGGTTCGGATTACTGAAAATCCGAAGGCTTTGGAAGATAACGTTATACCTCACTGTATTTACCGACTTAAATGTACGTATGATCGCATACATACATACGCACATACACAGGAAGGATTCTTTGATGATTGAAATTAATGGTCAAAGAACACATTGTAAAGTGGTTTCGGAAAAAAGTAGAGAATAAAATTCAAGTGAAATTTTCGATAAACAATTTTGATAAAGATGTATTCATGATAACGACTCGCAGTGGGATCCAGTACGCACACTTCTTATTCGGGAATCGTTAGCTGGATGCACATGCACCCTAGTGATGATATCCTTTTCACTAGGATTCGAACCCAGTACCCACCACTTCAAATGTCAAGGTCACGGGCACGAAAGCCACCACTTGTGCAACGGGTATTATTTGTTGTTATTTGATATTTGTGATTTCCCACTGTTATACAATCTCTAATTGCTTGACCTCTCTTGGCAGAAAACGAAATTATTTTTTTTCAAAAAATGACTACCTGTTTGGTTGCTTCTTCACGTAGTTCAGCTCTGGCTCTGGCTTGTGCTAAACGAATCAGTGACTCCAGTTGTCGTAATGTTACAGGGAATGTATCACGACTATGACGATGCTTACGTAGTTCTAAGTAGAAATCCCGTAAAGTTATAGCGGCTTCAGTTGAAAGACTAAAATAAGAAAAGAGGAAAACTATCTATAAATCGGTGTTTATAAGAGCGGAGAGTTGCGGCTCATTGATTAAGCTAGCTGATTTCCAATCAGTGGATCGCAGGTTCGAGCCCCGCTCCACCAATCAATGGTATGGGGAGCCAAATAAGAATTATTATTAGTGCCCACACGACAATAAGTGTGACTAATTGTCTACTGCACTAGTGTGCATAAAGTTACTGAGTAGATTTCAAGTGTTGTAAATAATAAAGTTCTCAAGAATGAAATTAGAACTTTTTACTATACACTTTCATAGATGACTGGAGAATAAGTCAATTAAAGGTTACTTAGCGCTGCTTCGTGATAGAGACAAGTTATCGATAACTGTAAAAGTTTCGGCTAGATATTCAACTATCGATCAAAGGACGATTATACTGCGTTCCAGTTTGTTTTATCTCGTTATTCGGCTGTGAGGCATGGTAGTTGAAAAAGAGATATTAAGAGACTACAGGTTTTGGCCATAGGTATCTCTTCGTAGGATTGCTTGTGTATAGTGGAATAACTGTGTGAGCAATGTTGAGGTCAGGAGAAGAGTACTAGACAAGGAAATCAAGTCAGACAATGAGGTTTGTTAACCATCAGCCACTAAAGTGACTTGGACATGCGCTGAGTATGCTGAGCCACACCGACCTCGATGTGCGCTGTTAGCCGAATCACGATTGAGTTACAGTAAGGCTCAGGATGACCAGGATAAGATATGACACCAGTGCAGGAAATCCTTCACTGTTGATCTGGACCCTGTTGGGAAGTGTAGACTTTCTGACCAGGGTTCTTGAGACGACAGGGTCAAGGTATTTTTGACGACTATTGGTGAGATGATTGAAAATCCCCCACAATAGCACAGATGTATTTACTCTTTGACATCTTCTGAAGCTTGAATAACCTCGCCTAGTTTACTAGCCGGTCCTAAGCTCGGATAAAGAGGGAAGGTTGGGCTTGGGACTAGCAACCCTACCCATAAAAACAGTCCAATCGCTAAAGAAACTTCAAAGTACAGACACATCTTGGGTGCTTTGACAAACCCTAATTTTTGAATTCCTTTTGCTCTCAACATCTTTTCTAATTTGGTATCACTCTTTCCTTTCTACTTGTTCTTTGTATAATACTTTGAAGTAAGGTAAGTTGAACCAATGGACTGGTGTGAGAGGTTCTTCGTTGATTTTGTTTGTCTGTCTGATTGGCTAACAACGAAGGATAATAGTGTTGGGTCACCATCAAAATAATTTCAGTAACCAAGTGCACATTCATGCAGTGAGCCACACCTACTATGTGACGGCTGATGAAACTACCTGACTGCTCGAACCTAAGTAGGTGGGGCGAAGTTCGAACCCGTGACTTACTGATCTAAAGCCAAGTACTGAAACCAATGAGCCATCACTCCACTTTGGGTTACCATATGTTAATGCGTTACGATTCCCTGGACTGTAACAAATAAGTCACGTAGCCTGGTAGCATGAGATGCTATCAGAAATGACTCAAAATCAAAACCAGCGGATATCCTATAACAGCTACAGCTCGATAACCTCTAATATTCAATGAATCGACCCATATAAAACGAATAAACGATGAAAAAGGCAAATAATTAAATAAAAGAAGCATTTAAACAGTACCATAGACCTCGCCTGGTTAGCTAGTTCACTAATTGCTAGACAGTCCTAAGCCCAGATAAAGAGGGAAGGTTGGGCATAGGGCTAGCAACTCTACCCCGTAAAACAAATCCAATCGCTGAACAAACTTCAAAGAACAGATAAAATATAAAAAATGAAAACAAACTTATCCCCGCTGGAATCGAAGAGACGAAATGACGCCGGTGAGTGAATGCCTTAGGGAAGCCAATTGGCCCATGTGTCTTCTCTCCTCTCGATGAAAGCGAAAGTAAACATGGGGACAAGGAATGTCCGCACGATGTATGAACCTAGCGAGGCAGCCCAGATTGCAAAACAGATGAGAAGGTATAGTATTGAAGTGTTACAAATTTGCGAAAGCAGGTGGAATGGAAGTGGACTCTCCAAACTGTCAACTGGAGAGTCAATAATCTGCTCCGATATTGTCACCCAGATGACAACCACGAACACACTGAGTTTTCGAGTGGTTATCGTGATGTCCTTAAGAACATCAACGGCTCTCATGCAGTGAGAACCAATCTCCTCTATGATCAGGATCATGACAGAAAGATTCAACTCAAAAGGAAGGAAAGTCACAATCATTCAATGCTACGCACCCATAAATAATGCAGATCAAAAGAAGGAGGAGGCATTCTATAGACAAGTGCAATTAGTACAGGACAAGATTACAGTTGGCAACATCAAAATTCTAATGGGCGATATGAATGCGAAACAGGGAGCGGAAAACACAGGAAGACAACTAACCATGGTCGAGAAGCACTCGGTAAAATGAACGAGAATGGAGAATGTTAAAGATGGATCGTGGCTAGCAGTGGAATCCAGGATGTGCATTTCGTCCTATTTGGGACTCGTCAGCTGGATGTACCTGCTTCCCAGTGAGTGGTGTCGTTCCCACCGGGGTTCGGACTCCAATTGTCTGCAGAATTCTGTGCATTCAACGATTTGGTGACTGGAGGCACTGTGTTCAAGCAAAAGGATATCCACAAAGCGACATAAATTTCACCAGGACACACTACACTAAAAATCAAACAGACTTTATCTCAATGTGAAGAAAGTGGAAACACCAGACTAATTGACACAAGGTCAAGAAGAGGAGCAGATGTAGGTTCAGACCACTATCTAGTGCAAGGAACCTCCCAAGTCAAGTTGAAAGCCTTCAAAGGAGCTGGTGGTGATCGACCACAGTTCAACACCCAGAAACTGAAGACAAAACTACAAAGGACAATTTCACATCAGCTATCAGAACAAAATCGGAGACATTGAAGCAACATCCCTGAAGGAACCTGAGTGGAAGAACACTGGGACTCTTTAAAAAGATGTGGAAGGAAACCTGCATAACCGTACAGACAACAGCAGACATGCTCACACCATTTCACTACTGCAGAAGGTTTGGAAGGAAGGGAAGGTACCTGCCAGTTGATTGGAAGAAGGGCTACCTTGTCAAACTCCCAAAGAAGGGAGACCTCAGCTTTGCAAGAACTGGCGAGGAATCATGCTCCTGTCCACCCCAAACAAGCAACATATTAAGCCGTATCATCCTGCAAAGACTAAAGGATGCGCTGGATTCAAAACTACGACCGGAACAGGCTGGATTCAGGCAGTACAGATCATGTGCGAACCAATTACAACCTATGCTACGCATCATCATAGAACAGAGTATAGAATGACAGTCAACTCTCTAACTCAACTTCATCGACTTTGAAAATGCCTTTGACAGCGTCAACTGAGAAGTAATTTGGCAGTTGCTTCAACACTACGGAGTGCCACTAATCTTTATCAACCTCATTCGACAGCTATATGAAGACGCCACATGCCAAGTGATTCACAATGGAAAGTTCAGTAACGCCTTTGAAGTGAAGACTGGCGGGAGTAAGACAAGGCTGCCTACTATCACCCATGACCTTCCTGATTGTGGTGGGCCGGATCATGCAACAAATCGTGAGGAGCGAGAAGATGGGCATACGCTGGCTGGACCGATGAAAAGACCCCAGAGAATTTGGATTTCGCCGATGACTTGTGTCTAACGTCGTACAAACTCGAAGGTCAACAGTGAGAACTAACAAGTTGACAGCAGAGGCAGGGCAGCGAAGACGGGACTTCAAGTGAACATAGAGTAGACAGAGGTGATGAAGATACCCAGCTGACAACAACAAATACCAATCAGGATAAACGGGAGAAATCTAAAGGAAGTTGTCTCTTTCACCTACCTACCTAACTAGGCATCATCGTTTTAACTACAGGTGGTGGCACAGATGAGGATGTCAAAGCCAGGATCGGAGAAGCAAGACAGGCCTTCAACAACAACAAGCTCCAATTACCATCAAAGGGAGAAACCTAAATGAAGTAGTTGCTCTCATCTATCTGGGCAGCATCGTTTCAACTACAGGCGGTACAAATGACAATATCAAAGCCAATATCGGAAACACAGCAGGACACGCTTCCATTGACCTGAAACAGTGTGGAGATCTGCACTCAGCACAAAGCGTGAACAAGATTCGGATTTTCAACACTAATTCAGTCAATTCAGTGCTTCTGTGTGATGGTTCAGAGACTTGGCGCGTTACGAAAAGCATTTCCAACAAACTACAGATATTCATCAACAACTGCCTACGCTGGCTCGGTACTGAAGATTAGATGGCCAGAAACAATAAGCAACAAGGAACTGTGGCTGGCTGGTGACGAACCAACCAAGAACCTATTGCTCAACAAATATGCAGAAGGAAGTGGAGATGGATTGGAATACACCCCGAGAAGACCGTTCAGGGACATTACGCACCAGGCCGGCAAATGGAAGTCAAATGGGAAAAGACGAGCTGGGCGTTCCAGCTGAGGGTGACATGGAGGAGATAGTCTGAGGAAGAAATGAAAGCTTCTGGGCAGTCGTGGAGCCAGGTTCAAAAGATTGCAGAGGACAGAGTGGACTGGAGACGTGCTAGTGAAGCCGTATGTCCCACTAGGAACCCAAGGGACAAACAATATAATATTATAATGGACTTACCATGGCAAAACATATTTTCTAGAATACATAATATATTTGCGTAGTAGTACTGGAGGTATATAGTCGATTTTTTCGCCAACAAGTAATTCTAATCTCTGAGCTAATGGTATACTCGGATCGAATTCTTGTACACAATCATTCAAAATATCATTACTATTATTACTGAATACATCTTTGATCTGTCGATTTGTCTGTGAACACATAAAACTAGATGGTTTCCAATTCCCGGTATGTACTGCTGTTACATGTTCTGATAGTAAACGATCAGCAGCTTCGTCTGGATGATCCAATAATACAAAGATTAAATCAAATCTAATGGACATACAATGAAAAACAAATGAGAGAAGAACACAAAAGTTAGAATAGTAGCTAGTTTACCATTTTATTCAGTTGCTAACGCTTTATAAGGAATATTGTTATATTGTGCGATAAGATTGCCCAAAACCACATAAGAAGCCTTTCACAACCATTAGTTTTGTTTCGAAATTTCAAGAAAAGGCACATGAACCCGTGTGTAATTATCTGATTGACACAAGAAACAAAATCAATAGGATATACCCTGCTAGAAAGGTCTAGGTCTGTGTATTTTATACATATTTTGATGTTACAATACATCTATTATCTTACCACCTTTTCTACTTCCCGACGAAATGAGTGACTGTAAAAAACAGGAACCTGAAGGTTATTGTTCAAGAGTTCACTCTCAGATATTTAGCACTATAAAAAATCAAAGTCATGTTCAGTATTGCTCACCTATGGTTTAATCACTGTGTGACCAGTTTCAAGGGATGAACGATGCTAAGCAAGGAAAGTAAGTCAGTCGATGAGGTTGTAAATCTTCAGTAGATGAGATGGCCTGGATGCGTATTGAGCACAACAAGCCACCGTCTACCTAAACATGCAATATAAACAAAAGTAGGGGCTGGACTGGAGAAGGCCAAGGGGACCCAGACCAAGACGTGGCACCAATGCATGAAGTCTCTGACCGTTGATCTTAGCCATGAGGAGAGGTGTAGATTGCCTGTTTTGATTCCTTGAGATGACAGGAATCAGTGGCTGGAGAGCCTTGGTGATGTGGCTAAGAATCGGCCACAAAGGCCCAGGTGTATTTACTTTCCGATATCATCGAAAGTTTGGTCATTTTCACTAACTTTCATTTCAAAGTTCCTTCTCCTACCAAACACCTTTTTCTACTTTGATATCACTTTTTACCTACGCACCTACAGACTACATGTTGCAGTGAAGCGTGGCAACTTGAACCGATGCACTCCTGTGCGACGTTCTTGTTTAATTTTGTCTATCTGTCTCCCAGTTTTGTTTAGAAACGACTTTTATGATTTATCATATCAGTCACAGCACTTTTAGAGATTAAGGAGTATTGAACGGCTACCTTTCTCTAGTTTAGGGCTGATTAACTCCACTAACTGACTTAAGATCAACACACCAACATTACAAGGTTTGAAGTTCTTGAGTAACACCAAGTGTGTATTTGATGGATGTTTCCAAGAAGTTCTAAACTGTTTCATCCTTAACTTTAGCTCATAGATCCAGATATTTAACACCCAACTGGTGGACTACAGAACTGAATTCCACTCCACCTACGGGATTCAAGGCTATCAGGTGATATTATCAGCCTGCACACAATACACACGACTTATTACCTAGTACACAAACCTGTAATTAGCTGCACCAAAACAAGGGTGACAATTATTTGCCATGGAGTAAAATTCACTCCTTTGTATTTCTTCATGGGTGCTTTCTCACCAAAAACACATCAACAGAGTATAAGAAGCTGTGCCATTAAGGTATGACCTACAATCGTAGGTGACAAAACTTCTGTAATTTCCGTTAGTCTTTGAGCATATCATCATGTGAGAGTAATTTTATTTTTAATCCCATCCTTTGTTATAACCTTTGTATGACACTACCAAGTGTCTTATAGATAGTCAACTGGCATGCAGGTAAGAGAATTCACAATCACGACCTGAACTAACGACCACCTTATTCTCTCACTGGTTGTAGAGCTGATCAAATGCTATTAGGTAAGTGTGAATACCATTCAAATAGGTGTAGTAATGTAACTAAGAGGGAATGCAGTAAACATTTAAGCGAATAAAATACTTCTCAAGATATGCACACAAAAAAAGACAATACAGACAGACGGACCGACTGACGAAATCAAGGTAGAACCTCGCACACAAGTCTGTCGGTTCAGGTTACCACACTTTAGAGAACAAGAGGATAGAAAAACTGATATTGAAACAGACAAAGCTGCATTAAAGGAGAAGTTAGTGAAAGCATTCAGGCTTAGGAAGACATTAGAAAGTAATTATGTCTGCGCCTGTGTGACTGATTTCCAGACATTTCACCAAGAGTCTTCAACCATTGGTTTCCATAGTCCCAGGGATTCCAGACAGTCTACACCATCCTACACGCTCGAACCAACAGTCATGAATTTCTTCCACTGGTATCTTGTCTTAGTCTGGTCACCACGAACCCTATTCCAATCTAATCCAACTATTTCTAACATTCTCTGTCACGGTAGGCGATAAGAAAAACAACATGCATATAGAATAAAACCGGATTACAAAGAACAGCTTTGAGGATACCTGGATAATAAAGCTGGAGGTATGCGCAGATTCTCATCCAACCGTCGCGTAATATCATAATGACCGTTAACAGGATTGGCTGCTGCTAGAACAGCTGCACGAGCTGGTAAATTGGCCACTAAACCACCACGAGCAACACTAACTGACTGTTGTTCCATAGCTTCGAGAAGAACAGCTGGATCACATGTCAATTTATCGAATTCATCAATACAACAACAACCCTTTTGATTTAATATTTTATTGAATAAGAAAGAGAAGTAAATGATGGGTAAACATTAAAGACATCTCAACACACGGATATACGTTCAGTTTCTTTAAATATTTATAAAACTCTGAGAAACCTGTAAAACTAAAGAGCTATTCATTCTGGGAACTAAAAATTCCATTTGTCAGCTATTTGTGATATAAAGTATCTCTACACTTAGCCACTGGTGTTTGATGCACAACTTATGAATGCTCCTTCAAAACACTGTTATGCGTAACTCCTGAAATCGTAAAATAATACTTCCAGTTTGAGATGAAGTTCACTGTAAAGTGAATACTGACGAATTATATAGTCTAGTGAGGAAAAAATTCGTGATCGAATACAAAAGTCAGAAAAACAATAAACAACTGTAACATACTATACTTTTCTGAAAACGCTACGAAAAGTGATCCCAACAGTTCCTTTGGCATAAAGTTACTCATTCAAAAGGAACTCTATGAGGATCATTGTTACATTTCCGCACAGGCTGTTTTGCACATGTCTCTTCGTCAGTGTCACATACATTTACAGTCGGAACACATTTTGTCTGTTAACCCTCATTCACTAAAATGCATCTATCTGTTACTGCTGGTTAGCTGACTTCTGTATATACAGTCGTATTTATCGTAATAACAAACAAGCAAACAGATGAGTATATTATTGGCTAATAGGTCAACAGTGGATCATCAAAACGGTATGTTCTAGGGTAGGCTTAGTGGGTTGATTGAAGAGTTAGAAAGGGATTGTGTAATCAAGTGTGGATAAGGGAAATAAGCAGTAGATTAACATGATCACTATTAAGTTAAAAAATATTCAGGTCAAAAATAATAATCCTAACCAAGATCAATCATGGGAGCACGTTATTGTAAGAAATTTGATGGGAGATTAGAGATAACACGTTAAGATGTAGGAAAGTAAACCATGAAGTAAAATTTATGATAATCAGTCAGACAGAGTTGACTAAATCATCCAAGATAGAACTGTTGCTTGCTGCCGGTCATGTCACTTTCTTCCAGCCTTCTTTCAAAATTCTATGCAAAAAGTCAAATGGCGGCTCAAAAGGAGTACGGATTTGTAACTTACGTATAGCAGAAGCGTTGACAATCCAACGATTAAAGCCATAGCTCTGTGTACAAAAGAGGTATGTCCATCCTCTTATTGTGTCATGTTCATAATCCTTTCCTGAGTTTCTGTATTCATTTACTATTCATCTTACTCTTATTGCCAGGTCATCATTATTTTGTATTTTTACTTTGCAATTTACTTCCCTACATCTTAACATGTTATCTCTAATATCCCATTAAAAGTCTTACAATAACTTACCACGATGATTGATTTTAGTTAAGTTTATTATTTTTAACCTGTTTATTTTTTTAACTTAATAGTGATCATGTTAATCTACTGCTTATTTCCCTTATCCACACTTGATTGCACAATCCCTTTCTAACTCTACAATCGACCCACTATCTCACCCTAGAACATTCCGTTTTGATAATCCCATGTTGACTAATTTACCAATAATAGACTCATCTGTTTTCTTGTTTTTTATTACCATAAATACGACTGTACAGCTGCTGAAAATAATTCATCGAAAAGGAAATTTTCTTCGGTGAATTACTTTGTATTTTGAAATGTCTCAGCGGGAATTTTTCTGAAGCACGTTTAGTGATCTTACAGATGCCACCACTGCACTCATTAGCACGGACACTTTTGGACACTTTGTTCATTATACGAAGGTTATGAACAGGTGGAAAGCCATTCGTGTTGTTGAGCATTGTGATGAATCTTCTTTGCCAACCGCTTCCCACTATGGATAAACTGTTGTCGCCTTTACAAATTTTTCGGTGCTTCGCATACTACTACCCAACAGCTGTACATCTAGAAAACTCAGTACAACTCATGGATATCGAAAAGTGGCAAGAGTAACGAGGTAGTTAATATGTGTGATGGTAGCTATCGTAAAGTCTCCAGACATGAATCATTTCGAAACGAAAACACATGATTTGCGGAAAAAGATAGCTACCCTTTGAATGAGCCCAAAAAGACGAGAAGAGTACTCTGTCTGTGGAAGACAATGACAATATCTTCCCAATAGTTTTAACCTCGATTGTTTCTATCGCATAAAACAAAAAGTTGAAGCTTTTTATTTATGACTACTGTTACGATGCATCCGATGCAATCAACTGCATAACCACTTAGTCTCGTAAAAATAACTTCACGGGTTTCGTGAAAGCTAAACAAGACGATAAAAACGATTCAATAGGACACAAACCTAAATAACATGAGATGTGGTATAAGCATTCTTCAATTCAAAGTGTCACTTTCACAATAATCCATCAACGAGGAAGTCAATGATAGACGGTGAAAAAAGGAAATAATACTAGGTACCGTAAAAAGCTGCAAAAAAAACAAAAGTATGATAAAAGTAATAAAAATAGTGTGAAAAGTAATGAATACATCTGAGCAACTAAGATAGACGTCATATTACATTACCTTAGGCCTCTAACTAATATGATACTTAAGCATCATGTGGTGCAAAGGGAGCATGTGGACCTTTGGATTCCCACCCAGCGAGTCAATGGTACCGTGCTCGCCACAAAACCTGAAGGCCCCGGGTTTGATCCCTGGCGGAGCCATCGGTGAGCATATTGATAAGGAGTCTCATACTAGGTGAAACAGCTGTTCAGTGCTCACAGATGTCCAATGATTCTCCAACTGATGTCAGTCCATGATGAATACAAACTTAAAAATGTATTTTTCATACATAAATTTAAAACCTCAATCTCAGTGAAAAATGAAAAATACCTGGTCAGCTAAAACTAATGCACCAGCTTCCAGACCAAATCCGCCACCACTATTATTACCTTCGCGTATTGTACTGACAGTTAAACCAGCAGCTGTTGCAGTATTTCCACACACATATAGAACTCTTGGCGCTAAACTTGCAGCAGCACGAAGTAGTTGACTTTTACCCAAACCAGGATCCCCTTTTTAATTAATTCGCATGCATTTATGCAGTAAAACAAAAAACAAATAAACAATGAATTTTTAAATATGTGTCGGGACGATCTAATTCACTTACGAGGTAGAAAATGAACAAGGAGGATTAACTATCTTGGACTGCAGAGTAAAACGAACGACACAGTGGTTTGGACATTACAGTGTACAGGGAACTGACGCACTGTACCAGGTATCTAGACTTCAGGTCCTATCATCCATTGTCAGTTAAGGCGGGTTTAGTCAAATGTCTAAATAATATAGCTACAAATCTCTCTAACCACTGCAAGAACTTAAGTAAGGAATAAAAACACAAAACAAACGTTAATAACCAATAATTATCCTCTACCATTTATTAAGAAATTCATACGAACCTATAAGAAATGAAATAATAACAGTGATACGAATACGAATAATAGCGACAACATGATTAGAAGGGAGTTCAAAACCTCCATTGTGTTACCATATAGGGAAGGAACAACAAAACTTTACCAAGAATTCTCAATGAGGATGGAATAAGGGTGGCAATCTCACCCACAAACTCACTCAGAAATAAGCCTTGTCAGTTTACGAATCCAACAGACCCAATTAGGCAAAATAACCTGATTTATCAAATTCAATGTAATGATTGTGAGGCAAAGTACATAGGTCAAAATAGCCGGCCAGGGTCAGATAGATTATTGGAGCATATGAACTTAGCCAAGCATAGAGTGATAGACTCCAAATAAGATCAATAATTTAGATAAAATCTTGGCTACTGCCATGAATGCACTAACACGCAACCATACAATAAGGTGGAATAAAATCCCGGAACTTATGTTCAATATAACTAGGTGAAGAGAGAGACTGATCATTGTTCATCGAATCAGCATCCAACAGGTGGAATAGGAATGATGTAACATCTATGTACCAGAGATATGGGAAATTTTATTACCAATAAAAACAAAGAATATGAAGTGGGTGGTGGTAGGACTAAGAAAAAATGAGAAGTCGAACCATTATATAATTACATCGATATGATTATGAACAATAATTTTTGCTCGAAACGTCATCAAGTAGATAATATTGTATCACTGTATGTTGGCTATATCAAATAAACAAATCTAATATTGATTTTTTAAATACTATCGTGTAAAAACAACTTGCGGAACAAACTATCACTTGTAACACTATTAGAGCGATTTTAAAGTTACGATAACGGGATACGTAAAATAGTACAGCTGATCACTTCTGAGTACAGTTAACAGTTCACTTGTTGCTAAAAAGAAGTACAGCTATTATCGGCTGAACACAGCATCAAGATCACAGACATACTTTTGAACACTTTCCACCTTGTTTCACTACAAAAGATAAGGAATAATGATGACTTTATGCCTGTCCTACAAGATTATTTACTCAAAACCTACATATTTCCTTACTTCAATATCAATCTAAAGAACTTTTCTTTTGTTACCAATGCACAGTTGGCGAAATGCTGTATATTGTATAACTTCTCATCATACTTCATTAATATTTCCGCTTATTTTTGTCATTTGTAATTTAAATGGATCATTTTAGAGTCAATCACATGGTGAATTCAACCTCGCCTGGTTAACTAGTTCACTAGTTACTAGCCGGTCCTAAGCCCGGGTAAAGAGGGAAGGTTGGGCATAGGGCTAGCAACCCTACCCCGTAAAACAAATCTAACCGCTAAAGAAACTTCAAAGCACAAACAAAATATAAAAAATGAAAACAAACTTATTCCCCGCTGGAATCGGAGAGGCGAAATGACGCCAGTTGGTGAAAGCCTTCGGGAAGCCAATTGGCCGATGTGTCTTCTCTCGATGAAAGCGAAAGTAAACGTGGGGACATGGAATGTCCGCACGATGTTTGAACCCAGTAAGGCAGCCCAGATTGCAAAGGAGATGAGAAGGTATAACATCGAAGTGCTTGGGATTTGCGAAAGCAGATGGAATGGGAGTGGACTCTCCAAACTGTCAACTGGAGAATCAATAATCTACTCCGGTCACCCAGACGCCAACCACGAGCACACTGAGGGAGTGGCTATCATGATGTCCTCAAGAGCATCGAAGGCTCTCATGCAGTGGGAACCAATCTCCTCCAGGATCATGACAGCAAGATTCAACTCAAAAGGAAGAAAGGTCACAATCATACAATGTTATGCACCTACAAATAATGCAGAGCAAGAGAAAAAGGAGGAATTCTACAGACAACTTCAATCAACACTGGACAAGACGTCAGTTGGCGATATCAAAATTCTAATGGGCGACATGAATGCCAAACTGGGAGGGGACAACACAGGAAGAGAACTAACCATGGGTCGAGAGGCACTAGGTGAAATGAATGAGAATGGAGAATTGTTTGCAGAATTCTGTGCATTCAACGATTTGGTGATTGGAGGAGGCAGTGTGTTCAAGCACAAGGATATCCACAAAGCGACATGGACTTCACCAGATGGACACACTAAAAATCAAATCGACTTTATCTCAATCTCAAGAAAATGGAGACGCAGTCTACTTGACACAAGGTCAAGAAGAGGAGCAGATGTAGGTTCAGACCACTCACTGTCTAGTGCAAGGAACCTTCCAAATCAAGTTGAAAGCCTTCAAGGAAGCTGGTGATAGACCTCAATTCAAGTACAACACTCGGAAACTGAAGGATGAAACTACAAAGGAGATCTTCAAAGCAGCCATCAAGACAAAATGGGAGATATCGAGGAACATCCCTGAAGAAACCTATGTGGAAGAACACTGGAAGTCTTTGAAAGCGATGTGGAAAGAAACCTGCACAGCCGTATTAGGAAGGAAGAAGAAAGAAGATAAGGAATGGATCTCGGCGGATACCTGGAAGCTGATAGAGGAGAGGAGGATGGTGAAGCAGAAGATAAACCAGTGCAAGGATGCTCAACGACAAGAGGAACTGAGCACAATGTATAAAACACTGGACAAAGAAGTGAAGAAGAGTGCACGGAAAGACAAAAGACACTTCTACGAAACACTGGCAAGTGAAGCAGAACAGGCTGCAGGTGGTGAGAGAGACCTGACGACATTGTATCAAATAACCAGGTTGCTATCAGGGAAGAGACCAACACAGATGAAACCAATAAAAGATGAAAAAGGAAATTTAATTACAAAAGAAGAGAAACAGAGGAAACGATGGGCCGACCACTTCAAGAAGCTCTTGAATCGACCACCACCTGCACTTCGTCCAGAAATACCACCTGCAGCCGCTGAACTACAAGTGAACATAAATCCCCAACGAAAATGGAAGTCCTGAACGCCATAAAGCTACTGAAATGCGGGAAAGCAGCAGGACCAGATGGAATACCGCCAGAAGCACTGAGAACAGATGCAGAGACAACAGCGGACATGCTCACACCACTATTGCAGAAGGTGTGGAAGGAAGAGAAGGTACCTACAGTTGATTGGAAGAAGGGTTACCTTGTCAAACTGCCGAAGAAGGGAGACCTCAGTGCTTGCAAGAACTGGCGCATAATCACTCTCCTGTCCACCCAGAGCAAGCAAAATATTAAGCCGCATCATCCTGGAGAGGCTTAAAGATGCACTGGATTCAAAACTACGACCGGAACAGGCAGGCTTCAGGAAGTACAAATCATGTGCAGACCAAATTGCAACACTTCGTATCATCATAGAACAGAGCGTAGAATGGCAATCAGCTCTCTACCTCAACTTCATCGACTTTGAGAAGGCCTTTGACAGCGTCGACCGAGAAGTAATTTGGAAACTGCTTCAATACTACGGAGTACCGCAAACCTTTATCCGCCTCATTCAACAACTATATGAAGATGCCACATGCCAAGTAATCCACAATGGGAAGCTCAGTGATGCCTTTGAAGTGAAGACAGGAGTGAAACAAGGTTGCCTACTATCCCCCATGATATTCCTTATTGTGGTGGACTGGATCATGCAGCAAACAGTAGGCAGCGAGAAGAGGGGGATACACTGGACGACGGAAAAGAACCTAGAAGACTTGGATTTCGCCGATGACTTATGCCTAATGTCACATAAACTTGAAGATCTGCAGGCAAAAACTAACAAGTTGACAGAAGAGGCAGCGAAGACGGGACTTCAGGTGAATATAGAGAAGACAGAAGTGATGAAGATACCGCACCACCACCATCAACAACAACAACAAACTCCAATCACCGTCAACGGGAGAAACTTGAAGGAAGTAACCTCCTTCACTTATCTAGGAAGCACTGTTTCAACTACAGGCGGGACGGACGAGGACGTCAAAGTCAGAATCGGAAAAGCAAGACAGGCGTTCATTAGCCTGAAACCAGTGTGGAGATCTTCTGCACTCAGCATGCGGAACAAGATACGGATTTTCAACACCAACGTCAAGTCAGTGCTCTTGTATGGCTCAGAGACTTGGCGCGTCACGAAAGGCATTTCCAATAAACTACAGACATTCATCAACAACTGCTTACGCTGCTCGTTACTGAAGATCAGATGGCCAGAAAAAATAAGCAACAAGGAACTCTGGGAACGAACCAACCAAGAACCTATCACGCAACAAATATGCAGGAAAAAGTGGAGATGGATTGGCCATGCACTGAGAAGGCCGACTGGGGACATCACGCGTCAGGCCAGTTGCTCGAGTGGAATCCCCATGGGAAGCGACGAGTTGGACGTCCGAGGGTGACATGGAGGAGGTCATGCGAGGAGGAAATGAGAGCTTCTGGGCTGTCGTGGAACCAGGTTCAAAAGATCTCAGAGAACAGAGGTCACTGGAGGCGTGCTACTGAAGCCCTATGTTCCACTAGGAACCCAAGGGACTAATAATAATAATAATAAAACAAGGTGAATTCTGTTCCTATCTCAAATCTCGATTCCACTCTAGATTATTCCTTTTTTATTATTTTATTATTTTATTATTAGTCCCTTGGGTTCCTGGTGGAACATAGGGCTTCAGTAGCACGCCTCCAGTGACCTCTGTTCTCTGAGATCTTTTGAACCTGGTTCCACGA